GCCTGGCCAACTTAGTGAAACACCGTCTCAACTAAAAATGCAAAGAGTTATCTGGGTGTGGTGGTGCATGCCTGCAATCCCAGCTGCTCAGAAGGCTGAGGCAGGAGAATCGCTTGAACCTGAGAGATGGAGGCTGCAGTGAGCTGAGATTGCACCACTGCACTCCAGCCTGGGTGACAGAGTGAACTGGGTCTAAAAAAAGGAAAAAATTCAGCTGAGAGAAGGCTTTCTCAGTCAGATGCCCCCGGGCTGAGTCCTGCCCCTCACCTGCTCACTGCCAGCACCGGGAGGAAGGGTTCCTAGGGCTATTCTGGGCAGCTGGGGACCAGGGCTGCCATCGGCCAGGAGAAACCCACTGGGGTGCAGCCCAGCCCTAAGGGAAGGAGGGGGACTGGGCCAGGGAGGGCCAGACCTGCTTGTGGGAGGGGTGGGGCCAGTGACAGTCCATGCAGGGATGGTGGGGCGGTGGGGGGTCCAGCTGGCACTGGGGCCCGACTGGCACTGGGGTCCGGTTGGCACTGGGTCCGGCTGGCACTGTGTCCAGCTGGCACTGGGTGCACAAGCATTTATCTAGGGGACCTTGGAACCCCTCATGGACACGGGTTGGGGAGATTACCAAGCCCATCACGGGTTGGCTAAGACCTCTCTGGGGGTAAAATGGGTGGGGAGATTCCTGGTCCTGCCCAGGCCCTCTGCCCTGATGCCACCCCGAGGAGCTCACCCCACCCCAGAGGCTGCACCCCAGAGGCTGCAGGGCCAGGACCACTGGGGGCTTGTGCCAGCCATGAAGGAGTCCAGGTCCCCAGAGGGACCACCCTCACCTTGAGAAGGACAGAAGGTCCCCCCTTTTCTGGTTTCTCATCTTCTCTTTCTACCTCCCCACCCCCAGCTCTCTCCATCGACACCCTCCCCAGAATGGACCTGGACCGGGTCCTTACACCTGGGGGTGCTGGTGATCCCATTTTACAGATGAGGAGACTATGGTCAGGACCAAATGGCAGATTCAGGGTTCATACCCTGACCCGTGACCCCGGGGTCCTCACTGCCCGCTGCAGCCCCCCAGCCGCTGCTGGTGCCGCAGCACTTCCAGCACCGTCCAGCAGGTGGTGCTGCAGGGACAGCTTCCCTGGCCCCGGCTCTCCCGCTGCGCGCCGGGGCCTGGAGCTGGGGTCAGGGTCTCCCTCCAGCCTGCGGTGAACCGTGACTGCAGCTGCGGTACTGGAGCCCCTTGGCAGAGGGAAAGCCGAGCATCCGGAGGCCAGTGGAAAAACCGTGTTGCCACGGAGTCTGTTTCCTCCTGAACTGGAAACGGGTTTCAGGTAAACAGTGTTGAGTCCAAGCCCAGCAGTGCTTTGCAGAGTAGTCGCCGCACCTCCTGGGTTTCAGTTCCCAGTTCCCTCCCCCGGAGCCGCATCTTCCCTGGTCCCTCTGGACAGGTCAAGCGCCCTGGAGGGAAAGCGGTTAGCCCCACACTCCTGAAGCCCCCTCCACGCTGCCTTCTGCCTGGGAAGGCTCCGTCTCTGCCCTGACCCGAGAAGAGGCAGGAGCCACCTTGGAGACAAACTGAGCCCCTGCGCCAACTCCCCAGCCAAAAGCACAGAGGCAGGAACGTCGCTCCTGGCGCAGTACCAGCACAGCCTGAGAGCAGGAGGAAGGGCCTGCGGGCCACAGGGGCCCTGAGCCACACAGGAGGTGAGGGACGGGCTGGGAGGGGCCCCGAGGTGGGTGACAGGTGCCTGCCTTACCCTTCTGTTTCTCTGAGCCGAAGCAGCCCTCTGTGTAAGGGCAGGGGCAGACCCTGGATCCCGAGTTCACATCTGTGCCTCCCTACTTTTCTTTCTCCTCTGATGGAAGTCAGGGGACACCAGGGGAATGAGGGGGACCCCCAGACTCACGTGACCTTGCCTCTAGCTCTGGGTAACCCGTGAGAATGGGGTTTCACATCCAAGCAGCCATCAGGCTTCAGTTCCCATGAGCTCCTATTTTAACCTCCTTCTCCCAGAAGGTAGAGACCTTCAGCACAGGCAGTGCTACCTGTGGTGCAGCACTGGGCACACCACAGAGGCCAGGGGTCTGTGAGGCTGGGGAGCTGGGCCCTGGAGGTGAAGGAGCCGACCCTGGGTTGGAATGAGCAGATTCTGAAGGCTGAGGGGGCTGGGCTAGGAGGCTGAGGGGGCTGGTGTAGGAGGCCAGTCTGGGAGGCTGAGGGGGCTGGAGGAGGAGGCTGAGGGGGCCAGTCTGGGAGGCTGAGGGGGCTGGAGGAGGCTGAGGGAGCTTATCTTGGCAGTTGAATGAGCTCGTCTTGGGAGAAAGCACACATCGTAGGGGCTTTTAGGGTGCCACAGGAGGCAGCACCCAGGCCTCGGCCTTTGGGTGGGAGGGTGGGAGCCCTCCACCTTTGCGTGCCTCCCCCCTGCCTCTGCTGGAAGGCTTCTCCCTTTGTCACGGGACCCTTGGGCTGTCACTTTTCCTGCTGGAAGACTCTGGCTGATGGCACCTTTGCCAAGGTTTGCTGGGGCCTGCTGGGCTCGTTCCACCCACTCGGCCTGGCAGGTTGGACTTGGCTCATGCTACCCACCTGGGCCCCACACTGGCTGAGGGTGAGCCAGGCACAGAGTGGTGAGCAGTGTGTGAGTGAGTGGGTGTGGGGTCCAGCCACTACGCACAGCCAGGCACGCCGGCTGCAGCAGGGTGGACAGCTCCACACGCCGGCTCCCTGTGAGGCTGGAGCTGGACCAGGTGAACCCCACAAGTGGCTTCCACAGCTGGCACCAGGGAACACAGTGGTGCTCGGAAGCTTGGAGGCGCCAGGAACTGCAGAGCCCCAAAGAGAGTGTCACAGCCCTGGCTCAGGGAGCTCCTAGGTCTGGGCTCCCCGAAGGGCCACAGCTCTTCTCTCCTCCTTTCTTATCTCTCTCTCATCACCCACAGCGTGGCGAGCAAGGGGGCATGTTTCAACTCTGTCATGGCTCTTTCATCCCTGCCATTTGGGCCCCGAGTTCTTGTCCCACACCAGGAAGAATGAGGTACGTGGACACGTGGAGGATGACCAGGTGAAGGGGAATGTGGACACGTGGAGGGTGACCAGACAAAGGGGAGCTTTACTGAACAACTCAGAGGTGGCCTGCAGTGGGTCACTCCTCTTGGCAAGCAGGGTGGCCCATTGTCACCTGGAGTCTGGCTGAGTCTGGGGTTTTTATGGGCTTCAGAGGAGGAAGTGCTTGCTGATTGGTCCGTGGGTGGTCATGGGTGGGCCCAGAAAAAGCACCACAAGTTCTCACTCTGGTCCACAGAACTGGCAGCCCTGGCCTGAAGATGGGGCTTCACTGGGACCCTGCCTTTCCACCCAGGAGCCCATCTGCCCCCTGCCACCATTAACCTGCTATCCACAGTGCCCACCGTGCCCAGGCTGTGCTGAAGGCTGCCTGCAGGCCCACGCAGACCTGCCCTTAGCGTCCCTCAGCCTCCCTCCCATGCTTGTCAGTGCCCAGAGTCTGAAGGGGGCCAAGACAGCAGGGCTGGTGTGTCAGTGCTGCTGCAAGTGTGAGTACACCTGGCTGGGCTGTGACAGTGCCTGGGCTCAGCCTCTGCTTTGCTCTGAAATCAGAGCAGGCACTGGGAGCAGGCAGAGGCCAGGCAGCGGGGGCAGGGGCTTCCTGGGCCTCCAAGAGTGCAGAGATGCCTGGGTCTGCAGCCACAGCTGGGCCCCCACCCTGTCAATTCAGAAGTGGGTGGAGCTTCCACCTGTTCCCAGCTCCCACCAGCTCCACGGAGTGAACAGTCCTGGCTACACCTCCCCGATGGCAGCCAGCATCATGGCAGCCCACTCCAGACGGGCCACCGCTGCTATCACCTTCACCATTGGGTATTCCAGCCTGGTTACATGCCGGCCTCCTACCTCCCCCTGCCTCCAACACAATCAAGGGAACAGGTCATGGAAAAAATGCAGAAGGAGCCTGAGGGGACGCTGCACCTGTGGGCTTGAGCTCTGATTTTTGAGCAGTTGAAGAAAGGCCCCTCCTTTTCTCTGAAAATTGGAGCTGGAATAACACAGGGTATCCACCAGGAGATCTGTATGGAGGGCCAGCTGTGAGCAAACTGCAGTGTGGACACAGCACAGCACAGGCATGGCCCTAAAGGAGGGTACCACGCAGCGCGGGTGAATGGGGGGCCCTGGAGCACAAGGCGGAGGGTGGTGTTGGGAGGCTGGAGTTGCTGTTTTGTGTGCATGCACCCCTTCCCCCACACTCTGCGTCTTCCACCTCAGACTCTCGCCTGCTCTTTTCCCTGGGTGACCCTTGGAGCTGCTCATCCTGGGGAGCAGGTGAGGTCAGCACCTTGGATAGCTCTGTCGCTTGGGGAAGGCCCCGCGTTGAGTAACGCCCCCGACTTCAGCTCCTAACAGCCTACTACCACTCCTGCAAGCGTGCAGCTTCGGGTCAGAGCCCCGCGACCCCACAGCCCACCGAGAAGACGTCCCCGTTGCACTTTGCCAAGTGTTGGCTGGAAGACGGTGGGAGAGGAGTGACAGTTTGATGAAGAATGAATGGATTAACTAATGCACAGGGTAACAGAGGCTGACCCGGCCCGGTACCCGTTCCTTATTTCCTAATGCAGATAAATTCCAGTAATTTCTGTGGGGTGAGAAATGGGCATCAGAAATAATAGTTTTACTATCAAAAATTGAAACAGAGTGCCTGTGTGTATCTGAAATTATACTAGTTGTTCAGATGCCTCCGGCGAGGAGCAGCTTGATGCCGAGGGAGGAGGCTTTTTCGATTGCCACCCTGCGAGGCACTCAGCAGCGACGGAAGCCCCCAGGCTGGGCCACAGCTGTGCCATCACACCCCCGGCCCCGGGGCTGACCCTTAGCTGACGTCGGCTCACCCAGTGCCAGCTCAGCTTCCCTGCAACGCCCTAGATATTTACAAGGTAGACACTGGAAACCCGGGCTGCCTTGCTGTTGGGAGGGAAACGCCTGCCAGACGGAGTCAACCAGCTGCTCCGGAATTCTCACCGGCATTCGGAGGGTTGGTGTTGCTGCTCAGCACGGGGGCTCAGAAGCCCTTCCCACGCCCCCGTTATCCTCAGCCTCCCCAGGCTCCATCCGGCAGGAGGGAGCAGACAGTGGGCCCTGCCTCCTGGCCTTGAGACCAGAGGACGGCCCGGGATTTGAAGCAGGTGAACGTCTGAGCTGCTTCTGCCAGTGCAGCCTTCATTCCGAAGAAGCAGGGCCAGCGTGCCCCAGTGTGCAGGGGGGCAGCTGGCTTTTCCCGTCTGCAGAGCTCCGTCTCCTGTGCCACTCCCCAGGAGGGGCGTGCTGTCTCGGGCCAGCGTGACCCCCGTTTCCCTGCTGCTGAAGGGGAGGGCCCCCTCTCTCTGGGCCTTGGCCTCTGTCTGTCAAATGATGGTAAGACGCAATCGGCGGGGGGATGAGCTATGGTCCAGAGAATGGTACGGGAGGGGCTGGCTCACCTGCCCCTGAGGCTGGCTTCCGGTCACGGTTCACCCGTCCACTCTGCACCCTGTGAATGATTCAAGTCAAGGCCGTGCCTTCAAAGAGCTCACGGCCTCATGAAATGTGGCCGGCAGAGGCACATGCAGGTTGCTATGGAAACACGCACAGGCTATTTGGGGTGGGGGATGGGCCTGGATGGTCTCGCCAGGGATGAGGTGTTGAAAGATGAATGAATTTTCCTCAGAGAGCCGGGGAGGTGGTGGTGCAGTGGGAGGCATGTGCTCCGGAAGCTGGGGGAGACCCCACACTCCAGATGCATCAACCTGCCGCCCCGCAAAGCTCATTTATTTAGAAACGTCTCGGCAAAGCCAGCCGTGGGATGGAAGCCTTCCCCATTTCTCCCTGGTCTGGGTGTGCAGAGGCAAAGCTGCTACCATGACTGGCTGCTGACGCTCCCCCCAGACACACCCCTCCCCGGCACAGCTCCGAGCTGGAGGGGCCTGGGTGCCCCTGGCTCTCAGCCCAGGCCAAGGGCCAAAGAACTGAGCTCCCCAGATAGCTGAATGGGGGCTCCCTCTGCCCCCACCCCCCAAGGAGGGATCATGGGGAAACCCAGGTCCTCGGTCCCGGCAGTCGCCCGGGGGCTCTCTGGTGGGCCCACCAGTTCCTCTGCTGTGTCTACATCCAGAGCCTTTATTTCTCCCAGGCAAAGCCACTCGCCAGCCCACCCAGGTCGGGGAGGCCCACAGGGAGGGGCTTTCCCTGGCACAGCTCCACGGCGGCCCTTCGACCAGAGTGGCCGGGGGCAGCTGCGCCCCTGGCAGCCCTGGGTTGAGGTGTCCTCAGAGCAGATGCCTGAGAGCCTGCAGACCGTGACCCTGGGGGCTGCATAAAGAGGGGTCTCCCAGAGGCCTTGGCACCGAGCCCAGGCAGGGGGCCCTGGACGTGAGCTGCCGACCCCCCCGCCACAGACACTTGGTTTGCTTGGCCTCTGAACCGTGCGTCAAGGGTGAAAACGGGAGCCCCTCTTCCAGGGAACCCGTCCCGAGGGGCCCAGGCTGTGTGGCCTCTGCCCAGACTGCTGACCCAAGCCGGTGGCCAACGAGCCGGAAAAGGTCAGCAGCTCCCACGGAGGCCCTTGTGTACTCTCAGGGTGGGGGCCTACGCCTCACACCTCTGCTCCTGGGCTCCCCCGACCTCGACACCCCCACCCCACACCCCGCTGTGGGACAGCAGTGGAGAGGGAGGGGCACGCCTGCCCTCCCCCACCCCCCGGCTTCCTCCGCGGCAGGTACTGGGCGGGGCCGTCACGGGAAGTTCCCTGTGTCTGGCTGCTTTGAACTCTTTTCTAAGGAAAACCTATTCGTGTTTTACCTACGGAATTAAAAATTCATTAAAAGAAAAGTGTACAAAGAGAAAAATCAGCGAACCTGGGAGTAGCTTCTCCCCCAAAGTGGGTATCACTTATTGCTGAGAAAGTTGACACAAGATCTGAGTTACAGACACAAGCAGACCAGGCAGTTTCTGAACGGTGCTTCCTGGAATCCTGGGTTCCTGGGAAATGCCTCGGAGTCTGCACAGGGAGCTGGGGCTGGAGTGCGGAGCTGGTGGGGAGTGC